CCTAGTTGTTGGTCTCCCTTGCAGCTAGGTGTTTTGCTTTGTAGTCTTGTATAGCTCTCAATCCCATCTGTTTGTTTTTTTTTTTTTTTTTTTCTGCTGTTAATTACTTCATCTCTGGGCAGGGGATTAGCTCCAGCTCATCCTAGTCATTGTATCACTTCCTTCAAGTTCGCAGTTTGCTTTCCAGCCCTTTTAAATACAAGTGGCTGGCCAAACTTCACAACATGGAATAAACCGGGGATATTTTTAATCTTATTCTCTGCCTGCATTTGGTATGTGTGGAATACTGACTGCCTGATCTTTAACATGGGAATGAGTGCACTGGGACACTTGGCAGGACGAGCCAAGCTTTGCCAGCTTGACTGACCATCTGGTTTAGTGGCAACAGGGAAATTTAATAGCACTTCTAATAAGAAATTAGTGAAGTAAGCAGCATCAGGATACTTGGGATTCTCAGTGGATATCTTACCTACCAGGGCAAGGAGTTCCTTTTGGCCTCTGAGACCAGTCTAGAAACTACATAAAGTAATTGTACATAAAGTAATTGTAGTGAAGCAATTAGTGGATTGCAGAGAAGAAGGGAAGAGATGGGGCATGGAGATGCATAGATCCCTAAAGGCAAGGGTGGAAGATTTCATCTGATACAGCAGAGCTGAGGTTGGGAGTATGGACAGCAGTGGTTGAGCAAGGAGATGAAAGCTGATATTTTTGGTAACAGCTCTGGACAAGCTAGTTCAGCTTTCAAGCAGTGATTCCCTTCTCACTTCATACTAAATAATGTTAGCTGTAATTTATTTGTACATAAACCTTGAGGATGAGCACAATGTTAATACTCTGGGAAAAGCAGTAAATTATACAACTGTGAGCACAGACTTAAGCATGAGTTTAAATCAATTACAGCAGATTGTTCATCCTAGCCAGAAACTGTAGTAGAAGTTCTGGAGTGGGTTTATGGCACAAAACCAACCATTCAATGAAACCCACCATCAGCAAAAACATTACAAAGCATGAAAAAAAATCTTTTTGGAATATTGCTGGGAGCAAATCAACACAAAGGTAAAAAAAAAAAAGTAAATAAAAATAGATGGAAAAGGATATATTCTAAAAAAACCATGCTTCTTTTCTCATACCATAAACAATTGTCATATTGCATTTATCTCTGTCTGAAAAATGCTTAAATAAAGTAATTTTTAAATTGCCTTGATTGTTGAACTTGTAACGTGTATTTAAATCTTACAGCAGCTGCTATTACTATTTCATTTTGTTATAATTGTCCTATATTATTCCATCTGATGGTCTGTGGGTTTAATAGTTGTATATCCTTTTGACTAAATTATATCAATGTAATGAAAACAGTAGAACAAGCTAAACCAGCCCAGCATGTTTTCAGAGATCAAAAGCTGTCAGTAAGATACAGAAACAGGATGCCTAAGCTTCTGTTCAGTCAGCTCTAAAAGACAAGACAGAACCCATGAACTATATGAATGTATAAATGGAAAAATAAAAACTCAGACCTACTAAGAGCAGATGAATCTGTTACTGTAAATCAGCTCTTAGTAAGGTGCGCTGATTGACAAGCTACAAGTCTGTGTAGATTAGGAGCTACTTCCCATTTCAGATGTACTCTACTCATCTGATGAGTACTCTAGGTTGTTGCATAGCAGCCTATTCTAATGTTTACATTTTTGCACTTTTATAGCTAGAAACAGTACATTTTAGGACAGCCCATGCATTGGCAGTGACATCTATTTCGAGAGAAGAAACAGAACTACTACATTAGCAGGTCAATTCAAATTCTGCTCATTTTTTCATTTCAGAGTGCTGTTGCTTCGTGTTTGCATAGTATGATAAAGATGTTTCTGGTAACCTCTACATATGCCACAGTTCTCGAGGTTTAATGTGGTTTTCTGAGGAACTGTGACTTCAAACCACTGTTGTTCTTCATGGCCTCACTGACCATCTTCTATACTTTACTCTTGTAGTAATTATGTTGCTCTTTAGCTTATGACACTAAACAGGTGTCATGACTCAGTAATTCTGTGAAGATAAAATTTTGGGAGGCCTTCTCAATTACATGCTTGTGCTAAAACATAAATATTGATCATTTTTTAACATTAGATTGAAACAGTTGATGGGTTAACTCTTCTTTAACAACATTAATGATAACATATTTATCACTGTTCCTCCAGAAAGATTTTTGTTTGTTTTTCAATAACAAAAAAAAAAGAGAACTGTTTGGTCTGTAGAAATTCTTGGTTACCCTTTTTATGTGCAGTGTTTTTAAAGTTACTGTCACTGACGTATGATGAGTTTTGAAACTTCTGGCTCAACTTGAAAGGGAGTTCAGAGGTAAATCTAATCTTTGTAGCATGGTAGCTTCATACACCACAAAAATGTTGGATCTTCTGGATAAGATTCTCTGCTCAATACAGAGAACTGTGCATTAATCTCATGTAAACCATCTTTAGTGAGTATAATGTTACGGATGGGGAGAGTGGTGCTATGTAAGGGCGTCCTCTTACCCTCAAAGAATTATTAGGGGAAGGAAAATGAGCATTTAAGACATCAAGTATTCTGCTAAAAAAGGGATATAAAAATAATATATCAACTTTGGCCTTCAGAAGTCTTTGAATTATTAGGAATTATTAATGCTTTTTTTTGTCTGCTTTTTAATGATGTACATGTGGTTCTGTATTTACACTCAGGCTCTGTGTTGGTAAAGCACTCTGTTAATGAGAGTAAACATCACTTAAGTGCCTACATGAAACAAATGTCCTCCTTAGTCTTTCCAGAAGTACACCTGCATGAAGATTGCCCACCCTACAGTCACTGAAATAGTTCTACTAGATTAGAATTGAAGTGTAGCTGCATTATGTTACTTCTGTTGCTGTTTGTTTTTGCAGTGTGTTTGCTTTATTTATTCTTGTGGTGCTAGTATTACTTGAAGTTTCTACGGCAACCTGTCACCATATGCTATTATAAAGTATGCTGGGATTTAGTTGCTAGGTGTTGAAGTTTGTCATCTTACTCATATGACCCTAATGTTTTTCAGATGCTTCTTTTCCTGTACATGTTGCGTCCCCAGCTAATATGCACTTTAACAACAGTGGAAACGATTCCGCGTTCTTTCTGCTTGATCTTAGAAAGCCCTATTTGTTTTACAGAATACACCTATGATCGCTTTTGATGTACTTCATATATACTCAACCAAAACATCATTTCTTTTACCTTAGACACTGTTTTGCAGTGTTTATACTAAAACCAGCCAGCATTATAGTTCATTTAAATTTTATATTAACTATGCTTTTTTAAAGTGGACAGGGAATTGAAGTGTCCTGAGACACTTTTTCCTCTGTCTCATTTTCAGTTGACTACCTATTTACTCATGTTCCTCTTCCCGATATAAGTGCAATGTTCATCCTGTTGATTTCCTTATTTCTTTGCACATTTTTTTGAAAGGTTGCCAGCCAATTGATTAATTCAAAAAATGGAGTTCAGTGTGGTTTCTGTTCCAGATTCTTTTACATTTAAATGGAAATTAGCATTTTTAAGTTGGAAAACTTAAATTTTTATTAGATCTCTTCATAGTAGTGCAGTGTATTCCAAATTATTTCTGTTAATTTTTCTGTTAATATTGTCTCATCAGTCAAGTGTTTACTTCAATACATTTATTTTTTATACATTTGACCTAGTTCTAATCAACCTTCTCTGCTGTATTCACAGGATAAATCCTAACAAGCCTAAGCACAGCTGAAATGACTTGTTAAGATTCTATCTGAAGAACTTGGCTTACTCTGCCACAACCCTTTTAATACTATTCGATCCCTATGTACGATGCTTTACTTAATGAAATTAATTTTTTAATCATAAGCATTAGACTATACTGTGTTTGTAGGCCGTGCTCGACCGAATTTCTTCTGTCCATCTAGTGAGCATACAGTCTGCATTCAAAGTGTAATAGATTGTTCTTGTGCAGAACTTACTGTGTTCTCAAGGAGATCATGCTCTTTGTACATTCTAGTAAGAGGTACTTAAACAGCATAGGGGAATTTAAGCAAATACACAGATACTTGTATATTTGATCACAGCTCTTTACAGACCTATGTTACACTTAAGTTCTACCAGGGAGAATGGTAATGCTGAGAGTGCATGAGTACTTCAAACATCTGGGGCTGCATCTGAGAAGTGAATCTTTATTGCTGGTATTTGGGGAATAGGAGGGAGGGGCAAGCTTTTAACCTATAAAGAATCTAGCAGTTAATTTCTAATAGTTGAGATCACTAGCAAAAAAAAATATTAAAGATCAAACAGTATTTCTGTACTTTCCTGCTTTACAGTTTTAATGGAAATGATGGAGGAAGTTTTTGTAGCAAACTAGCTTTACTGTCACCTTCTTTTTTATGTATCATTCAGTCCCACTGATGTAAATTTGACAGGTTTGGTGCGAGGTACTGGCCAGCAATATGTGATCTTTGCTTATGGCTTTTTGCAGTAATCAAGGAATATCATCTGTTAATTTTAAAATCACCATCTACAGTTACTAAAACCAGGCATTCATTCTGTACCATAATCCCAGATATAGCTAGAAACATTTTAGAAGTTGGTTTGAACAAAAGAAATAACCTTCTTAAAGTCTTTATGCCTTTAAGCAACATAATAAATTGATTCAATATGAAGAACTGCTGCTTATTTCATGGAGTGATTATTTTTGAAAGGCATTCTGTGGTGAATGTTTTACTACTAAAAATACAAGCTCTTTTTTATGTACAATTCTCTAACTTCTGTCACTAATCTTTTTTCAAAAGCAAGACATCAGAAGAAAAAATCCCACACAATTTCATTATTGAATCCTTTGCAATTCATTATTACTTTCAGCTATACATTTAACACCACGGGAAAGATCTGTTTGATCCATAACTGTAAAAGTGAACTACTACAGCAAGAAAACCAGCATTTCTTTTTAGAAGAGCATCAGTACCCGAGAACACACGATTCCTTACCTGAAAGCTTTTGGTTTACCTGCAGAAAATGTGTCTTCTTAGCCTTAAAAAGTAGGCAAGCCTCTCACTAGCACTAATGTTACTCCAAAAGAAGGTGTAAGTCCTTTATATTGTAATTGTCACTGTTTATATGCAAGAACTGTGCTGGGTCTGCTCACGTAGGAATAAATAAATAAATAAATAAAAGGCAGTACAAACTGAACCGCAGCTAACATATGAAAGTAAAAGACCTCTAGTGGCCATAACCTGCAGTTAAAGACGGCTTCCCTTCGCTACGGGGTAGACAAAATGGTTGGGTACGACAAACTGCAGCTGACACTTGGGTAGTGTGTGCCCTCGCTGCCTTCCTGATGCGACACAAGTTTAAAGGGATCAGGGTTAAGTAGCGAATCTGATCAGCACTAGGTGGAATTTCAATTCTGGTCAGAGGGGCTGGCGCATCCCTTATAACAATTCTAAACCAGTATGATTAAAATATCCAAGTAAATCTAGAAAATTAACATGCATGCTCATCTACTTTATAGTCATTTGTTTTAATAAAATCAAAGCTTTTAAAGCAGGTTCACTTTTAAAACAAAAATTAGAACTTCAGCAAATTAAAAGGCATCAATAAGGAGGAATCTTCACTGTCTTAAAGTGACAAATCATTAAGCTTGCTATTGTTACTTGAGAGATAAATGTCTTTGTGGCTTTCAGTAAATTACAGTGAACATTTAGGATTATAAATACCTTTTTATCTTTTAGCATTTCTGCTTTAGGAATTGGGAAAAATAAAATACTTCATTTTGAGGTAATTTGAAAGAACTTTTAAGAGATGCAAGTAATAGTATTCTATAGAATTTTTACTGAGTTCTGTAATAGCTACTTAAATGCCTTCAGAAAGTAAAAAAATAGCCTTTCTTGCAATATTTCTTCATGTGAGTAGCCTGTGTTTTTAGAATGATTAAAAAATTTTGATGCTAATATACTTTCTTCTTATGAATTCCTAATGGAAGAATCCTAGACAACATTATTTATAAAGTTTTCAGGTCACAATGTGTGTTTCCATGCAGTGTTTCATAAATTATGCAACTTTCTCACCAGAGCCCACCCCTTGTCACAATAGCTTTTGAATTATCCTTTTTGAGTTTTTAGTATGTTTCTTTCATCTCTGCTTGTAAAGGCTTGATTTTTTTTTTTTTTTTAACATAAAAGGATTTATCAGGCATTTAGAGTAGTTCAACTTTAGGAATAATACAATTAGATATCTTAATTAATCTGTATGTGTTGATTTCTGTCTGCTTTTCTTTCAGAGTCATTTTGTGGCGTGCATGACAGCGATCTTAAACCAGATGAACAACCAGCATTATTCAGTTTACATCGAAACTTTTCAGACAAGTTCAGAACTAGTCGTGAGTACAAAACAGTCATGGAGGTGATAAATAACTCCAAGTATTTTATTTCCTGTGAAAAATGAGTAGTGTTGTTTTGGAGTATCTTGTCTGATTCTTCCTAGAATGAAGTTTCCATACATTTTCTGCTTCTGTGTCATTGCGTTGCCTTCCTCTTTGAATGGTGACCTTGGACAATACTGTAATCAGAAACTTTGAAATACATATATGTGACTGTTATTGACCCTAGCATGAAGGTGGTGATACAATAATCAAGAACAAGTAGTGGGATCTTCATATTACACTGAGAAAAAAACCCACAACCAAATAACACCACCAACCCTCAGCTAACTGAACACTCCCTCCCCACTTCACACATAGTGATCAATTCCAACTTTTCATTTTCCTTATTGAGTCTACTTCTGGCCCAGATCATGTTGTATGCTAAAAGCAGTAAATGCCTTATTCTTGCAATGCATCATTTTATGCCAGTTGTTTCTGGCATAATTTAATGATACTTGGGGTGTATTCTAGTACCAGTGGCCACTGTGTTCTAGAAGGTTTCAGTAGTCCTATGTCTATTCTTCTATACTATTAACATAACTCTGAAGTAAGTATTGGCAAAGGTTTTGGTTACGCCATCTACACGGTTTGCCCATGGAGATTTTCAAATCTATTAAATCCTTATGCATAGTTAAACTGGTTTGCTAATTATTACATAATATAACAGTTTTACACCAAACTACTATAACTTTTTCTTTCCATTCATTTATGGCTTATCTTTTCGTAAGAGCCCAGCGTAATGACTTTTAGCTTTCATTTGGAATCAGAGAGTGCTGTTGTACAGGACTTCAGTTTCAGTCTCGCACTTTACTGATACCAGTAGGAATTTTTCCACTGTCTTCACCGGGAACAAAGTGGAGCCCTCCATCTTAGTTCTTTAATCACAGCAGGAACACTTAAACTTTGTGTTATGCAGTCACAGACTTACTGTATTTTGTTGTTCTAGGACTTCTTGATGGAAACGTTCATAATGTTCAAAGATCTCATTGGAAAGAATGTTTACCCTTCCGACTGGATGGCAATGAGCATGGTGCAGAACAGGTAAAATGGGGCTGGAGCATCAGTGCTCATGTTCCATGTGCTTGTGACAAGTGAATTCATTTCATGTCTTATAAAAAGTTTTACTGTGCAGTCTAACATGATTGTATCATTCCAGTTTGGTGAATGCCAAGAAGGTCATAATCTGAAATAATTCACTGACAGTACATTAAATAGCTAGCTGCCCATGCTTAAAGTCTACTTACAAGTGAAAGGAAAAAAAATATGTATTTAATAGTAAAATGGAAGTACATAGTTGGTCTCCATGTTGACAGTCAACAGAAGCCAAATTGTAAAAGACCTGTTGAATCTGAAGTGTACAGTTTCTGCACAGGGTTAGAGTGTCCTCACTAATAGGTCAGCAAGTTCATTGTGATACAAGTGTCATGAAGCACAATTTTCTTTCTGACCAGATATGGTTGCTTGGACTGCTAAAAGGTCTGATGATAAAGGCCAAATCTTTCAGTGCAATGCCGTATTTGTAGGAGGAGGTTGGATCCACAGTGCTTACTGTAGCTCACATCATCAAGGAAATGCATTGCTATACTATAGATCATTTGGGGTGTCATCATGATTGATTAATTCAAACTCAGGTATGTTGCCTCTGTAGATCAAGATGGCATCTGAGCAAAAGTTTGTATAATCAAATTTATCGTGTTCCTTTTTTTTTGTTCTATGAGAGCTTGCTATTAATAAGAAATGTTTGAGTACTCTTATATTATAAAATTGACTGAAGGAAATACCGTATGGACATAAACTCAGCAGATTGTACACCTGTACCCACAGCTATAATCTGTCTGGTTTGGTGGCACCATAAATGATGGTGGGATAAACAAAGTATTGCTTGATCTCTGTTAAGACACAGGACCACTGTTGTCTTGGTGTTAGGATTGCAGGTAGCATAAGTGAAGTTTCACATCATAGATTTTGCTGCCACATGAGCTCTTTTCAATTTATTTTTCCATATAATGTGATACTGAATTGGAAAGGAGAGAGAAGTGCACCTCCACCATTGATAATGTTTTTAGACAGCTGGCTTGGGCCAGCATATCACAGATGGATTCCTTCAGAGTATCTTTGAAATATAGCTTATTTGAAGGGGAAGGGAATGTTCTTCCCTTGAGGTGTGAGTTTTGTTGTTTATTATGGGCATCAGTTAGAAATTAATGGTTTTGGCAGCAACGAAAGGCTAGTATATAGGGTACAGGACAGGCTACGTGAGGATTTATTCCCTAGTAATTGTTTCTAGCTGTTCTGAAGTACTGACTTCTTCCTTTTTGTGTCTCTAGTCTATAACACAGGAAAGCAAGAGAGAGTTGCACTGAGAATGCAAAGTAAAACACATGGCTGCTCTAAACAAAGTTAGTTGGTTCAGTTTGTTTATTTGTGGAGCTTGTAGTTGAGGAAGAGTTTCCCTGAAATTTGAACACTTAGAGGTTTTACAAGCATTTATATGTGTAGAAGACATTGAACAAAAGAGTAACTGTGAGCATGTGACCACCTTACCTTGTGGATTTTTTTTTTTTTTCTGGATTTCTTCAACTTCATACTTAGTGGAAATCAAAGCTAAAAATGTCAATGAAAGGGATCTGGATTTGGAAAAAAAATCACTTCATTTACATGTTTTTATTTACTTTGAAGTTACCTTTGGGTTTGAACTTACTCTTGCCTCTTGTTCTCAATGAAATACTTCAAGTTTATATGCTGGATTGGATTGTGAAGTGAATATGCTTTCTTTTTTTTTTTTTTTTTTTGAGCAAGACTTCTGTTGGTGAGGTGGATTTTGATCACCTGTACTATCATTATTTTAGTTTTGTAGACATGTCAGTAACATTGAGTTTTCTAGAAGTCAGAGAGACTAAGTCTAAGAATTAAGTCTCAGAGATTCACAGGTTCCAATTAACTTAGAAGTCCACAGATGCTGTTTAATTGAAACGCCATAGTTACATAATTTTAGTCTTCCAGTTTTATAATACTGAAAAGAACAGAGGATACTTAATAAAGTTGATAATCTCCTGGGGGTGTTTAGTCTTGAGGAGAAGATCTACTAAGAAAATTTACAGCACCATGATACCAAATTTTGATACTGGATACATTTGCATCTAGGATTTGAATAGAATGATGTTAAATGAAAAGGTTTTCTTTTGTGTGTTGCATGATTCACAGCAAGGATTATGGTTCTAGTGGGTAGTGATGATGGCAGTGAGACCTCAGATGCCTAAGCCTCACTTCGTCACTCATGTACACTAATGTTCATGCAGAGAGATCACTAACCCCTCTTCTGAGGTGGGCAGGTACATATATGCTGGTGGATGTGGTCATTCCAGGTAAGATTTTGTAAATCATAGTAGATTCATCCCACTTGTTTCTCTGTCTGAGTCAGTCTTGGGGCCTATAAGGGTAAGATCTAATTCAATGCACATTCTTATATTGCTGCTGCTGCAATTCGCAATTATTTTTCAAGTAGCCAGGATTACTCTTAGGAGGTATCAGCTTAGTACCAAAGTAACCTAACAGTCTTCTGTTGTGTGTAAGCATATCAAACCTTTCATATGTAAAACTGTTTCTCTTATCTAGAAAATGCTGTTAACATCTGCATTATTCACAAGTATAGGACTTTTTTACTCTATGCGGTCAGGGGAAGTGTTGATCCTTAGTCAGAAAATATGCCTTTGGGGCT